AAACCAAATCAAACTAAAACAAAAATTCCAGTGTCCTGTGACGTATACCGTTCTCTGGGGGAATCTTGCAAGCTGAGTGGCCATCCAGCTGAGTCCAGGGACTAATGAGGGTCAGCGGTTCTCATCAAGACTCAGATCCTCTATAGAAGAACAGCTAATGCTTTCAACCTATGCAACGTCGCTCCAGCTCCAAGATGGGGTTATTGTTGGCTTGGAGTAGCCAATAAGTAGGCTAAGCTGGCTAGCCAGTGAATCCCAAGAAGCTCCTCTGTGTGTGTGTGTGTGTGTGTGTGTGTGTGTGTGTGTTTGTACTTATTTACCTGCTCAAAAGGTTGGAGGTATGAGGAATTTGGTTATATATTTACTAAACCCCACCAAGCTTGGTGGCAAATCTCAGTCCTCAGGTAGCTAAGGCCAGCCCAGGCTACAAGGTCGTATTGTCTCAAAAAGACAATACAATTGGGAGCAGAGATATGTGCCTATAAGAGACGGAGTCAAGGGGATCTGGAGTTCAAGGCTATTGTTAAACCACCTTACTAAACCCCCTAATTGGAAAGAATTGATTTACTTCAGAGTCTAGGCTCCTTTGCTGGGAATACGAAGTGTTCTCCACTGGGGGTCGGGGAGGCTCCCTGAGTTCATTGTTTTATTTTTGCAGTATTGAGGATGAACATGCTAGACAAGCAGCCTGGCCGCAGAGAGTGTGTGCTCTCTCTGTCTCTGTGTCTCTCTCTGACTCAGAGATGCCCAGAGAATACACATTCTGGTCCACGTTCTGTCAACCAATCACAGTGGCTCATAGAAATTACCATCCCAGTGGGTGTACCAACTGGGAACGCCAGAAAACTATTTCAGTTAAATGTGAAGGCACCCTTGAAAAACTCGTGGGGCAGGCCCTGCTACGACGACTCCAGTCTCTGGGGCCCAAAGAAATTGAACATTCTCATTCTCTCTCTCTCTCTTTCTTTTTTTCTTTCTCTTTCATTTATTTATTTATTTATTTATTTATTTATTTATTTATTTATTTAAAACAGGCTCTGCACAGTCTTGTCTCCAAACCCACAGAGATCCACCTGCCTCTACCTTGTGACTGCTGTGATTAAAGGCATACACCACCATGCCTGGTGAAATTTTACATTTTCAAGACAACTGAATTATTTGAGGAAGTCCAACCCACTAGCAGAGCTGGAACTACCTCTCCATAACAAGGTAATAATGTACTCCCAGCACCCTGGAGGCTGAGGCAGAAGGATCATGAGTTTGAAGCTAGCCTGGGCTACATAGTGAGCCCTACCTTTACAAGGGTGTTGGGAATCAGGTATCATGGTGCATGCCTTTGATCCCAGAACTCAGAGGCAGATGGATCTCTGTGAGTTTGAGGCCAGCCTGGGATACATAGTGATTCCCTGTCTCAAAGGGGAGGAGCAGGTAGCAAAGGAGGGATGGAGAAAAGAGGAAAAAAAAGAATAATATACACCCAGTTACTCTTTTAAAGACTAATGATTGCCTTGGTAAAATGCAGTTCTCTGGTTTGCACCCCACACCACTTTGATAGCTAGCTATCAAAACCTATTTACAGGTCGGGAGTGATGAGGCACATCTTTAATCCCAGCACTCAGGAGGCAGAGGCAGGCAGATCTCTGAGAATTCAAGACCAGCCTCATCTACAGGGTGAGTTCCAGGACAGCCAGAACTATATAGAGAGACCCCCATCTCAAATAGATAAAACTAAACAAAAATCTGTTACAGAATTTTAAAAAGGTTACTAGCTAGAAACTCAAACAGCCTTTAGTGTGTGTGTGTGTGTGTGTGTGTGTGTGTTCTTCCTCTGTGTCAAGACCCAGGCCCATCTGTGAACATAATGGTGGGGGGATGCTCACTGGTCAGATTTGTCCTTCTGGAAGCTTCTACACATCAAACCCCTCTATTCTTTTCCTCTAGGGCTGGCTTCCGTGTTCTTCATGCCTTGGGAACTTGCCTAAGCATTTGTCACATAGGTTCACACTTGACAGTTTACTGAGGATGTTCTGAGGAAAGGACTCTCTGCTTAGTCAGTGTCCTGGAACTGTAAGTAAGGACTTCTGTCTGAAGCCTCATCTTTAGGTAGATAAGGGACAAAGGAGAAATCATTCCAGGTCCCACATCGGAAAGTGCAGAGATCCCAAAATTAGTTTGTTTCGTTGGTTTTGTTTGGTGGGTTTTGGTTTTTGTTGTTGTTGTTGTTGTTGTTTGAGTTAGGGTCTCATTCTAGCCCAGGCTAGCCTGTACTCACTATGTAAACCAAGTGACTATCCTTCTGCCTTCGCTTCTCAAGTGCTGACATTACAGGTAAGAGCCTGGCTTAAAACTAGTGTTTTATAGACGAGAATATTCCAAGGTCTTTGGTGCCTGCTACCAAAGTTAGTCAGCCCCAAACCTGACTGCAGGTCAGAACCACTTGAGGGCCTCTCGGGACAGAGCAGACAAGATTCCAGGATAAAGTCACACCTCTGTAATTTGTCCTTGGTAATCTGCATTCTTTCTCATAGACTCTTTGGTGATCGACTGACTCAGGAATCTCCAGCAAGTTAGCTCTACCTCTGAGCTAAATCCCCTTAGCCCACCCCACCTTTTAAAAAACCAAAACAACCCCCCAAATTTTGTGTGCCTCTTGAGTAGCTGAGATTTCAGGATTTCAAGACCAGGTGTGGTTCTAATCCAAGGCTCCTCCTCGGACCAATCAGGAACTAGCCTCCTCCTCTCTAGAGTTTGAGCTATGGCCCAGACAAGGTTGCACAGCGGCTCCCTTCCTGCACAGCTCTCTCCGTTTCTCCTTGCTCAGGTTCTCGGGCATGTGTGTGGTCGGGGTGCGGTGTGGGCACCCATTCTCTGCCTCTGGTTCACACTTGGTGCACACTGGAACTAAAAGAAACAAACTGCCTGGGGAAAGAGCTCACTCAATGAATGTGCGGTGCGCCATAGGAACTGGAGTTTCATCCCTAGAACCAGTGTCAAAAAGCTGGGCATGGCGGTGTGCGCGTAAGCCCCGTGCTGCGGAGGTGGCTTCCTGAGGCTCCCTGGCGCGAATCACCAAGCTCCAGGCTCAGTGACAGACACCACCCCCCACCCCCACCCCACCCCCGTCTCTAAAACCAAGGCAGAAAAAAAAAAAAAAAAGGATAAGCATTCACCAGCATGATGGTGAATGCATTTAATCCCAGTACTCAGACAGCAGGGGCAGGTGAATCTCTGTAAATTCGAGGCCAGCTTGGTCAATATAGCAAGTTTCAATCCAGCCAGAGCGACATGAAGAGACTCTAGCTGACTTCTAGATCACACGCACACACATGCGGGCATGGACACACACATATGCAGATGCACACACACTCACGCACACACACATACACACGCACACACACAAACATGTACAAACAACTAAAAGGTTGTTTTGTTTTTAAGTTGGGTATAAGAAATGTCTTTCTGCCTAGTCTAGAGAGTGAGTTCCAGGACAGCCAGGGCTACACAGAAAAACAAAACAAC